AGGTAGTGAATGTGGTGGTGCAAGTGGTGGAGTTGGATGTGGAAGTGGAGGTGGTGTCATTTTTTAAAATGAATGATGGTATTTTGGGAATTAAAAAAATTCATTAAATGTTCATCTCTGCTTCTTTTGAAAGCAGCTTTGAAAAGCAACCCATAGCCTGTTTTTAAAAGCTGCTGTCAGAAAGCCATTGCTTTTAAAATAATCTGGATATTTTCTTTTTACCAAACACCTTAAACTGCTTAACTTCAAAATGAAGCAGGTTTTTGGCGAAAAAAAACAATCCCAAACGGGGCCTAAAACCGCTGTAGCTTTATTCTACTTACCTTTTTTTCTTTTTCTAAATTAATATATATAAAGCAAAAGGCAGAGAATGGTGAAACATTCAAAATACCAGAAAATGCCATTGGTTAATTAAAAAATTAAAAATTGAAATTATTAATTAAATGAGGATAATATGATAAATTCATTTTTTTTAATTAAAAAAATTAAAATTAAAAACGAAATCAGATAATAATTACCCATGTTATCTTTTCTTAATACTAAAAATAATAATAAAAAAACCAATTGGCACATGTGTGAGCATGTGCCAAGGAGCTAGTATATATATATTGTACAGTACAACCCTAATTTCTACCCGTACCAGATAATCTCCATCAATTTCAAGAATTCTTTTTATCTTTCGACTGCAAGTAAGCCATTTTATTTTTCTCTCTAATTCTTCGCAACTATAATTTGAAGTTTCGTATTATTTTTTTTCAATTTTTTTTTTCAATATATTAGTTATCTTATTCGTTTATGTGATATAGTAGAAATTTGACGTACATGCATCATACTTGTATCTTAGAAATATTAATGGTGTTGTTTTATAGCTATGAATTGAAAAGATCCTATGTGGAAGTATGCAAAAGAAATATAGGGGGGGAAAATACTTGAGATGCACATTTTGTGATCAAAGATGCAGTGGAGAAATTTCTAGACTTAAGCATCATTTGGGTCAAATACATCATGGTATGCAACCATGTAAGAAAGTTCCTGAGCATGTTAAAAAAGAGTGCCTCAACTTTGAAAAAATTTCAGCTTGAAAAAAAAAATAAAAAAAATGCTTAAAGCAACTCCACCCATTTGCCCTTAGCCATGGTAAGGGGGGAGCTAGGGCAGCCACTATTCACATGAATAGTGGTTGCCCTTGCAAATAGTATTTTGTGTTTCCACCCGTTGCCATGGCTAAGGGCAATTTCTATTCTTTTTTTTTTTTTCCACAAATTTTTTTACCTCAATAATTAATTTGGATAATATTTTCGGATAAGATTTCCGGGTTCCTATGTGTCAAGACTATTCATAATCGGATAAAATTTCCGGATAAGATTTTTGGGTTCAAATTTCGGATGAATTTCAAAATTCAAATTTCAGATAAATTTGGGTTCAAATTTCGAATGAATTTCAAATTTCAGATAATATTTTCATCCAATCAAATCAAGCCACGTGGCATCTCTATCTTGCCAACATTTTCTATAAAACCAGAGGCTCAGCTCATACCTCTCACACCACATCTTTCTATATTTTCATTTCACAGAGTTTAGAATTCATACTCCATTCATTCTCAATGGAAGATTTAGGAGATGCTTGGAGAGGCAAGAGCGACAAATAAATGAGAGAAACCGTAGAGCAGATGAAATCAATGAGTTGCAGAGACAAGTCGATGAACAAGTTGTCATAGCAGTGGCTTTGCAAGATGAAGAGAACCAAGGTCGCCACCGTGGTTCACAAGTCGGTTGCTGCCGGAATGTGGACAGACATAGGCATTCTCGGGGTAAGAATCTTTTGGAAGATTATTTTATCCCAACTTCTTTGTACTCTGATGTTGATTTTCGAAGGTGATTTAGAATGCAACCCCATTTGTTCAATAAAGTCATGCATGATATTTGCAATCATAATGCATACTTTGTTCAAAAGTGTGATGCTACTGGGGTTTTGGGACTTCTTCCGGAGCAAAAGCTTACAGCTGTTATACGAATGTTGGTGTATGGAGCATCTGCTGATCAGGTGGATGAGATTGCCCGGATGGGGAAGTCCACTACGTTGGAGGCTTTGGT